CTGGGTTGTTGCCCTCCTACGGCCTCCTCCACATCTCCTGATGTACTGGCCTGTCTCCTGGTAGCACCTCCATGCTCTGGACACTACGCTGACAGACACAGGAAACCTTCTTGCCACAGCTCGCATTGATGTGCCATCCTGGATGAGCTGCACTACCTGAGCCACTTGTGTGGGTTGTAGACTTCGTCTCATGCTACCACTAGAGTGAAAGCACCGCCCAGCATTCAAAAGTGACCAAACGATCAGCCAGAAAGCATAGGAACTGAGAAGTGGTCTGTGGTCACCACCTGCAGAACCACTCCTTTATTGGGGATGTCTTGCTACCTGCCTATGCTTTCCACCTGTTGTCTATTCCATTTGCACAACAGCATGTGGAATTGATTGTCAGTCAGTGTTGCTACCTAAGTGGACAGTTTGATTTCACAGAAGTGTGATTGACTTGGAGTTACATTGTGTTGTTTAAGTGTTCCCTTTATTTTTTTGAGCAGTGTATAATGACAGAGGGGGTGCTGTTTAAATCTATGGCTCCACACTTCAGTTTGTTAGGTGCTGGTAAAACACCTATACGTTGATCTACCAACCCCTAATCAAAGTAGGAAGAAGGGCAGTGACTGTATTTCTTTCATTTGAATCTAAGGACTGAAGATCAAGTTTTTTAGTAATAGTGTGTGTTTTTGTTTTTGTAATTAAACATGAGTTCTTTCTGTTTACTGGAGCTGATAGTCAGTGATTTCTTCAAAAACCTGTCTTGCCATCCACCATGGCAGCAGCGATAAACAACAATGATCATGTGGCGCTCACAATGTGAATACAAACTGTAATGATAACATGCCACCATATTTATAATGTAGGTTATTTTATTGCAAATGGCAATGTGAGATCTTCGGGCTCAAAGTATAGCACATTTAAATGAAAAGATAATAATGTTAATGTGTCGAACCTACATAAAATATACTAGTTTATTACACAATCAAAGAACAAAATAAATGATCAGTGTAGCCTACCTTTAAGAGCCGGTTCAATGCCGACCTGTCGCAAAAACAAAGTACAGGAATAGGTCTCTAATTTGCACATTCAACAATGCACATACCAACATTGGTATTTTAGTGCCCAACCGAAAGATAACAGCAGCCAGCAGTAGCTACGGGCATGCCCACTCAAACAGCGGTCGCAGCAAGTGCCTGTGGCTGCATTTGGAGCTCAGCGCCATCGCAACAGCCATGGCCTTGCCAGTTCCTCCACTGCCTCTGTGGGGAGAGCCCTCGGCTGTGCAGCAAGGGAGGAAACAGATGTGGAGAGGAGAGCTACATTGTTGATTGCCACACCTGCCTGGGAAGCGTATTGGTTAATGTGGTCCGAGAAGTGGGTGGTGACCTGGTCTCGTGGGAGCGGAGGGGTCGGCAGGATGGAGGAGATGCTCATTTCCAGCAGTGGGCTGACGGGGAATCCGAGGTCAGTCATCCTTTGCACCCTGGTGAGTGGCTCGAAGTGGGCGACGGGAGTCCATAGGTTCCCAGGTTGCGCAGCTGCCTCAGAGAAGAAAAGCTGGATGACAGGAAATTCATGCCAGAGGGGGGAATGCTTGCTCCACTGTTCCGATTTGTAGAAATCCCCTATCATATCTGATGGGGGAAGCGGGGGGCAGCCGGTGGGAGAGGGGATGCCCTTGCAGTTTGCCACCTTCTTGATGATCACTGGCAGGTCATGGAGCATAGCCCCGAACACCGGAGGTTGACTGGTGGCGGGAGTGTGCTGCTAAGCCGGAGGAGGCTTGTCTCTGCCAGCGCCCATCTTAACCGAAAGATTGAGGGGATAGCCGGGGGAGCTGGCAACAGAAGGAAGCAAGTCAATGGACTCAGGCCCACCCGCACCAAGGAATTTCAGGGGATCATCCACCAGGGAACCGTGGCGCTGGAGTCCTGTGTTTGAGGATCTTTGCTCTTTAGCCATATTAAGGAAATGCTCTTTAGACTGCTGAATAAAAAGAGGGAGCCTATTACAGGTCACGTGGGCATTTATATGCCACCACAGTGGACCTGTCTGGGGACAGCCCGGTGCGGGGCACAGGGCGCAAAAGAATCTCTTCAGGACTGTGCATGCGCGAGGAATACACCCAATAGCAACAGTTCTTAGAGGGCAAAGCCTATATGAAATAGAACTAACAGGTTACTGTTACAGATTACCCTCAGATTGTCACTGTTCAAAGTAATGACAACAACAGTCTACTAAGTAATCAGTGTTTATTTTTGGCATTACATACTGATGATGTACAATGAAGTGTGCAACACAGTAAATCTACTGCTCCGCCTGAG